CTGGGGGCAGGAGATGCCCAGCTGGGGCCAATGGATGACCCCAGGCAGTTCCCCAGAGGCAGATGCTATGCTATGCTCCCTAGCCAAGCCCCTGGACAGGCGAAATGCCTTCCTGGCTATGCCTCCAGCAGTCCCTGGATATGTGAGCATCACCATGCATGGGCACTGCCCCAGTGAGATCCCTGAAGGGTGGGGAAAGGGGTATCCCCAGCCTGGCCTCGCAGCCCCAGCTGCCTTGAGGAAGCATCCAGACTGAGATGCTGCTTTGACTCCACCCCAATGAGCTTCCCCTTCTCAGGGTCCTGATCAGGTGGCCCACAAGGGCCTGCAGAGCTCAGTAACCCAGAGAGCTGCCCTGTTGCCAGTTTGCCAGGCACTTTATACAGCTGGCAAAGGAGCTGCTCTTTCCACTACTGTAACTTACTTCGGGCAGGCTGCTGCCTTGTGTTCTTACCCCTCCTCCCCCTCACCACTACCAAAGGGGGTGGTGGAATGGAACACTGTACAGAACTGTATTCAACAGCAAGGCAGGGTCACTGCTGCACACAACTGCTTTGCAGGTGGCTGGTGGCCTCAAAACCACTCGATGTAGTGGCCTATTCTGTAGCAGGGAGGAGGGTGGGGGCCAGGCCACAAAGCCATTGTGAATCATTGGGGCTAAGGGGTGGGTATAGTGGTGTTTACAAACATACTGTAGCTGAGAGATTCCCAGCCTTACCCCACAAAGACTGCAGACAACGAGGCAGGCAAGGAGGCTAGGAAGTGCCTTGAGCAGCAACAGGTCGCTTGCCTTCACAAGAACAGGTGCTGCTGCTGACGCTCCTCCCTGGAATCCCTTATAAAGTTGCTGGTCTTCCGGAGAATCCTGCAAGCAGTGGACAGAGCAACAACATTATAAGAAAGCACTACACAACTTTAAACAAGCATGTTCTTTAATACAACAGCGAGGTACCATCAGAATAATGCTAAATGGGAGAACATTAAGTGAGAAGTTTCTGTAGGTGAGACAGGGGTTGGTGCAGACACACCCACAAAGGTGGAGTGTGGATCATAGGTCAAAACCTCAATTATGGATGCGGAACAGATGTGAGTCCAAATTTTTGTATCTGGGCAGAGCTCCAAAAATGTTACAGCTAAACAGAAGGTGGAACAGATTTTTTTAGCATAAGTAGTTAAAATGTACTGTATTTCAAGGGGCCATTCAAAGGGAAGTGGCCAGTTCAATCTTGGGTGGGAGGAAAGGTGAGGGAAGAAAAGCTGAAGGACAATGGGATGGGGCAGTCCATATGCTCTATGAAAATAATCTTATGAATACAACTGGAATATGCTTTATGCAAAATACCTCATGTAAGATATCACTGGAAAAGTTAAAAGAATGAGAAGTCTTGTTAAGGACTAACAGATTTATCTGGGCATAAGCTTTTATGGGTCAAAATTCTGTTTTTCCTGACAAAAGCCACACGGCAGCGTGAATGGTCTCAGTTTTGTCACCAAAGGTACTCAGGGTACCTTTCCCAGACCTGAAGAGCTCTGTGTAAGCTCAAAACCTCGTGTCTCTGACCAAGAGAAGTTGGTCCAATAAATGATATTACCTCACCTGCATTGTCTTTCCTAAACCCAAAATGTCTTCCAAGGATATAAAATCCCATTTAATCAGATAAATGACCAAGTTCGAGCAGCTCCTTACCTGCCCCTATTTAAGCAGTTAACCATTCACATCCCTAATGTCTACAAATGAATTGTTGGGTGATGACACAAGCAGCACTTCCTTGAAGCAACTTTAAAACACAGTTGGTCATGAATGAATAGTCGAGCATTGGGATCACATTTATTTGACTTCTTAGCAACCTATAATTTGTATTTCATGCCTAGATACCAGATATTTTAAAAATAGTTTGATAGTCTATGAAGGCAACTCTGCCAGTTATAACTAGCCAGCTACGTTCTTTCCATTTGTATTAAAATTTACCAAAAATGCCTGATATTGGGTTAAAAATAAGTGGCTCAACTCCCAAAATGCTGCGCATAGCATATACGTTAGGGCTACATCTACACTACAAGTTTTTATAGCAGAAAATATGCTAATGAGGGACTCATTAGCGTGAGTTGCAACATCATAAGCATATTTTCTGCCATTTATTTTTGTGCAAAAAGAAGCAGTGTGGACATTTCCTTTGCGCAAAAACCCTGTTTTGCGCAAGATCCTTATGCCTCTCTGGGACAAGCATGAGGATCTTGTGCAAAATCGGGTTTTTGCGCAAAGGAAATGTCCACACTGCTTCTTTTTGCACAAAAATAAATGGCAGAAAATATGCTTATGATGTTGCAACTCATGCTAATGAGTCCCTCATTAGCATATTTTCTTCCAGAAAAAACCTCGTAGTGTAGACGTAGCCAAAGAGTAAACCATGTGGAAAAAAATCCAGGTGCGGTTGTTGTTTTTCCCTTTCTTTTCTTTCAAATGTAATTTTCTTTTAACTGTTTTTCATAATTGGTTTCTCAAAAAGAGATTTTAAAGTATGAGACATATCAATAATCTAGCCCTGCTTAATCTTACAAGATCAAAGACAGTTCTGAATAACGACTATAGAAATCACAATAGTATTTTAGTGCATTTCAAAATGCCAGATCAAATTTTCTCAATTTAAAAGTAAAGAGATTTTTTTTTCTAACCCCATTTTGTAAATTTACCCTGGAATCTGAGAGTCAACCTAGGTTCTTTTTGGCTCAAGCCTCATTACCAAGTAACAAAATATTTTGAACCTCAGGGTAGTTAGCAAAAGTATTGATGATGTACTAAATATGCAGAATCCAGCTCCATCTTCCACAAGAATCCTTAACTAACAGCAATAAAAAGTAGTAACACCTTAATTTTCTAAGAAAAAAAAATTAAGACTGAAAAAAACCCTGCTGTGAACATATACGGACTGTTTTTTTTTTTTTTTTTTAACTAAACAAGACTGAAAAAAACCCTGTTGTGAACATATATGGACTGTTGTTTTTTTTTTAAACTAAACTTCTACTTCAAGGTTCCAATTAGTCTGCTTAAGTCATCAGCTTCATGTGCCATTTGTAATAAGTATATTGAACCCAGCTTGTTCCTATAGCCCTCCCCCATGCTAACACACAGGCCTCCTCCCAACCTCGTACAACCAAAGCCTCCAAAGTTCCTTCTTCTGTATAGAAACCCCCTATACAACAATCCCTCGCCTGTAATGGAGACCATCTGGGCAGATCCCTTCTCCCTAGGAGGCTTTGCAAGGCCCATGTAAGCACTCAACTCCCCCATGGGCACAAACCCTTCCCCCACTGCCCAGCGGGTAAATAGTCCCCTTCTCTAGACGGTGCAGTGCCCACGTACACAAAGCTTTTCCCATGCAACGAGCACTGCGTGCACAACGCGCCCCCATGCAACGAGCACTGCGTGCACACGGCCCCTCCATTGAACACAGGCCCTTCCCCCGGCAATATCGCTGCACGCAGCCCCTCCCCCATGCAATAACCCTGTGCACACACCCCTGCCCCATGCAACACCCCAGTGGGCGCACAGCCCCCCGAGCAGCATCCCCGCGGCTCACCCGGCACACGCACCCTT